TAAATGAAAGAACGATTTGGGCTTGGCAGATAAGACATCAAAAAATAATCTACACTAATAAAAGACAAAGATGCTAATTGACCATACCTTTGCTATGCCCACCAGCCAATCAGAAGATATGCAAATTAACCCAAAAAAGATGTCCATTAAATTTGCATACTGCAGGTGGGGCCTCAGCACGAGACACCCCCGGGGGATCCAGGCCACAGATCGTGGACCGGGGAGGCAGGGCAGGCAGCATCAGAAGCCACCCATGGGATCCAGGCTGCAGAACAGAGACCGGGGAGGTGGGGCAGGCAGCACCAGATGCCACCTGGGGAGGCGGAACCAGCAATCTCTCCAGACAGAAGCCTGAGGCCTGGGCAGGGGCAGAGCCTGTGACTGGAGCAAGCTGGGGGGTCCCTTGCCAGGCCTAAGGCCCCAGCCAGAAGCCTTAGGCCTGGGCAGACAATCTGAGCAGCCTGGGGGTCCCCTGCTCAGGGTAAGGCCCCACCCAGAGGCCTTAGGCCAGGGCAGGCAATCTGAGCGGCCTGGGGGTCCCCTGTCCAGGCCTAATGCCCTGACTAGAGGCCTGAGGCCTAGGCAGGGGCAGAGCCTGTGATTGGAGCAGGCTGGGGGTCCCCTGCCCAGGGCTAACGCCCTGGCAGAAGTCTTAGGCCTGGGAAGGCAATCGGGCCGGACTGGGGGTCCCCTGCCCAGGCCTAATGTCCGGACTAAGGCCTTAGGCCTGGGTATGTACCGCGTCGGTGATCGGTATGAACTACAGAGGGAACACCGTTTCTGACAGCTCATTGCCTAAGCTCCCTGTATGCCATTGGTAATATTCTTAGTAACTTGGGTAATAAGAATCCAAGAAGGTGATGTAGGGTTTTTCCACCTCACTCCTGGAGAACAAAACGAAGGTCTGCTGCTGGAGGGGTTATGAAATATCATATCCTGCCTTAGCCGGTTTGGCTTAGTAAATAATGCCTCGGCCTGCCTACCACAGGGTCTGGGTTCAATTCTGACCAAGGGCATGTACCTAGGTTGCAGGCTCTTCCCTGGGTGGGGCCCAGGTCAGTGCTCATGCAGGAGGCAACCAATCAAACTGTTCCTCTCACTTTGATGAGTTTCTCTCTGTCTTTCCCTTTCTCTTCAACATTCTCTAAAAATCAATGGAAACATATCCTCAGGTGAGGATGAAAAAAAATAATAATAAAGAAATGTCATATCCTATGAAAGACACATCTAGAAAATGCCTAAAGAAAGTTGTCATTTTTTCATGGTGAAAGGACTGGAGTCCATGTTGATGAAAACACCTTGGTGGCTGCGGTGACTGGCAGTGGCTGCAGCAGAGGGGTGATGGGGCTGGTGCTTTCCCCTGATCAGCACTGTCGCCTCCGACTAAAGGAGGCCAGACTTCGGCTTAGGCCCGCTCCCCAAGGGCAGCAGGGAGTGGGCCTAAGCCATCAAAAGGACAACCCCTGAGGGCTCCCACTATGTGAGAGGGGGCAGGCTTGGCTGAGGGACCACCCTGCCCCACAGTGCACGAATTTCGTGCACCAGGCCCCTAGCATATTATAACATCAATACACTGAGTGTTAAATACCAACAACAAAAGTAAAATTATTAATAGCATAATCAAAATAAAATGAGACAATAATGCTAAGTAAAAAAACCAGATGCAAAAGGTCACATGTTGTATCATTAAATTTGGAGGAAGTACTCAAAGAAGATAAATCCATACACAGGTGAATGAGGTGCTGCCAGGGGCTGGAGGAAGAGAAAATGGGCAGTGGCTGACTAATGGCGCAGGGTTTCCTTCTGGCTGCTGAAATGGGTTGGAATTAGATAGAGGTGAAAGTTGTATAACACTCTAAATGCATGAAACTATAAGTTTAAAACATTTAATTTTGAATTCTCAGAGCCTCCTCCAGAAGCCTCTTCTCCTGGGTCAGCTTCTTAGACTCTCCCCATAGCCTGGCCCCCAAACGCTCTCCATTCCCCCCTCAAGAAGAAATCCAATGGCTTTGTGGTCTTGCCAATGGGAGAAAGAACACAGCAGGAAGCAAACGAACATACTGAGAAAGCAAAAAATGAGACAGACCAACTCAATGAACAAGCCAGTGAGCAGATTCTGAAGGCGGACATAAAGCAAATCCTGCCAACCATTGTTTTTCAGAAGAGGTAGGAACTGATGGCCCAAATCCCACATTTTTGAGCAACAACATTTGCAACCATCTCTATGCTTGCACTGCTCGGGGAGACACATGGAAACGCACTGTGTTATTTAACCAGAGTTGAAGTACAGAATTGAAAAGTAATAAATCAGGTCACAGAACAGATTTTCATTGTGATGAAAACCTTTCCTTGGAAAATAATTGCACCCAAAGTGCAAGCCGTGATGCATTTTCAAAGTCCACGAAATATCTGGAAAGGATTTGATGAAATGTTCACATCCAATGCAGGATAAAGCCAGCAGGAAGAGGCCGAGAAACAAAAATCTGGTCTATGGCCATTCTGACGCAGGTGCAGGTAAGTTGGGAGAGATCATGGAAGGTGGTATTTGCCAAAATCCAATTCATTACTACTTGCTTCCTGATATGGAAGATGAAGATGGGGAAGGAGAAGAGAAGAAGATGATGATGGAGGGGGAGAGGGAGAGGATTGAAAGCTACCAACCAAGAAGCTGATGGAGATGAAGGAGACAGTGACTAAGGAACACTGATGGATTCCAACCTTCTTTTTAAGTTTCCTCCAGCCACTGGGAACAAGTTACAGTCTGGATTTTGTTTTGTTTTGTTTTACTCTTAGGCTCAATCATTCTGCTCTTGACGTCTTCCTTCTCCCTTACATCCTGGCTCTCAACTTATTTTAGGGGAAATACCTTGAGCAGAATACAGTGGGAAAAGAATCTCTAACGCTTTCTGTTCCCAATTCACTTTTTTTCTTTACTTTTAGAAGTATTTTCCCATTGATTTTTTAAATTTATTTTTCTTTCTTTATTAAGGTATCACATTTGTGTCCTTATCTCCTCATTGCCCTCCCCACCCCCACTCATGCTCTCATCCCCCTGGTGTCTGTGTGCATTGGTTAGGCTTATATGGATGCACACAAGTCCAAATTCACTTTCATCCCTTCCTGACTCAACAAACACTATGTGGAGTCAATGCCCCTGTGCTCCGTGGGAAAGAAAAACCTTCTGCTTACCTTGCTCCGCTGGAGGCTGGAGGCTCAGCCCGCGCAGTAGTGCACAGAATTCCAGCTTTCTTCCTCCTTTCTCTGTACATTGAGCACACAGATTATATGGTGTCTCTGTGAATGTAAACAGCATTTACCAACATATACCTGTCTACTTTGTCTTGTATGGAACATTTAAAAATAAAAATAAAAATTGGTTTATAGAAGGTCAAAGGGTAGATATGAGATGTTTCAGTTTGTTAAGTGGGCATTCTGACAATAAGGCTTCCCCTTTGTTATGTTTAATTCTGATGTTTAATGGACTTCCTTGCAGTTTAAGATGATACTTTCAAAATAAAATTCTCTCCTAATAATGGCCTGTGCCCTGCCACTCAATGGGACAATAGCAGACCTGCAGAATCTTATTTGGAATTGTCATTCTCTATTGTATTTTTTTCCTGTTTATTTAATTTTCTTTTGTTTGTTTCACTGGAAAGAAAAGATAATGCTCAATTTTAAACATTAAAAGTGTACCAGCTGTGGAAAAAAAAAACAAAACACTGAGGAGAAGAAACCAAGATGGCGGCATAGGTAAACACTGGAAATAGCTGCCTCGCACAACTACTTTAAAAATACAATTGAAAGACAAAACGGACATCATCCAGAACCACAGGAAGGCTGGCTGAGTGAAAATTCTACAATGAGAAGGAAAGAGAAAAGCACATTGAGACTCAGAGGAGGTGTGGAAGTAAAGTGCAGAGGTACAGAGGCACACGTTGAAAGGGCTGGCAACTGAGGACACGGTTGTCTTTTTCAATTCAGAGGGAGTCTTAAGCTCCTGACTGCTCTGAATTCCAGTTCAAGGAGAGTCTCTGGGGACCCAGACTCATACAGGGAGAAACTGGACTGTCTGGCATAGGTCTGAACTCAAGGGTGGCTTTCTCTCAGAGGTGCTTGCAGCGATTACTGAGACATTGAGATACGGGGCCTCTTAGGGTAGGACTGAGGATCAGC